GAGTCTATGGGAGTATGCTGGAGTCTATGGGAGTCTGCAGGAGTCTACGGGAGTCTATGGGAGTATGCTGGAGTCTTTGGGAGTCTGCAGGAGTCTATGGGAGTATGCTGGAGTCTATGGGAGTATGCTGGAGTCTATGGGAGTCTGCAGGAGTCTATGGGAGTCTGCAGGAGTCTACGGGAGTCTATGGGAGTCTATGGGAGTCTGCAGGAGTCTATGGGAGTATGCTGGAGTCTATGGGAGTATGCTGGAGTCTATGGGAGTCTTTGGGAGTCTGCAGGAGTCTATGGGAGTCTGCAGGAGTCTATGGGAGTCTGCAGGAGTCTATGGGAGTATGCTGGAGTCTATGGGAGTATGCTGGAGTCTATGGGAGTCTGCAGGAGTCTATGGGAGTCTGCAGGAGTCTATGGGAGTATGCTGGAGTCTATGGGAGTATGCTGGAGTCTATGGGAGTGTCGCAACTCTCTCTTTATAGGGCTCTGATACTCCCTCAACATATGGAATGACCACTGGTCTGGGTCTGGGTTCCTCCTTTTCACCTGATGGCTGACTGGAGTCCTGTTTGGGTTTCTTCTTTCAGGAAGGCCCAGTTAGGATATCCACATTGCTCTAGAGCCTGTCTTGTGTGGGATTTCTCCTTCTGCCTGGCTCCTGAGTTAGTGGGGACGCTGTCTGCTCTGTGGTACAGAGTCCTGATGACTCCTAACTTGTGCTCCAAAGGGTGATGGGAGTCAAACTGCAAATACTGGTCTGTGTGGGTGGGTTTGCGGTACACCTCAGTTTGCAAATGTCCTCTATCAGAGACTGAGACCTCACAGTCCAAGAAAGCCAACCTGACATTTTTTTACATCTTCTCGTGTGAACTTGATGTATTTATCCACAGAGTTGATGTGGTCAGTAAAATGTTGGACTTCCTGAGATTTGATTTTAACCCAGGTGTCGTCAACATACCTGAACCAAAGACTTGGTGGTGTCCCTGAAAAGGACGTCTATTTTATACGACTATTTTCACATTATTCAACAACCAAAACAGATTTTGTTCTTTAAGGTAATGGCTTATTTGGCCTCAGACGAGTCAGTGGGGGAGAGGGCGGACTCCAGAAACCATCTTATCACCATTAAACTGGTTGAGCCACTATGAGCAGGCACTATTTATAAGACTGAGTTTGTTGTGGCTCCTTGGACTGAAGAAGTCCTTTGGATGAAAGATGAAACGTTCCAACAAACAGAAACCGTTCAGAGGACCTGACTGAACTTTGTTGGATTTGTTCATTAACACTTAGCTAAGCTAACCATGATGCTAGGCTAATTCAGGTTCTCTTTTCTCCAGAAGCGTCTAGCTGCAGAACAAAGAAACAATTTCCAGCCCACGTGACCAGACCAAAAGAAACCGTTATAATTTGCCAACAAACAAATATTAAATATTGGATTTAATTTTCAAATACAGAAAATATGTTTTTGGTGGTTTGAGATGTTCGAACACAGATCCTCAGCTACAATTCCACTTTTCTTGTTTATCACGCTACAAGTTACCGCTAGCAACCGTTTCTTCTTCATGTTAGGATGAATTCACGCTCGATAAGAAGTCCGTCTGCTCTACAGCGTCCGGTTCTATGATTGTCATAGAGCTGCCACACAAACCAGACTTCATGCCATGCTGCGAGGGGCGGGGCTTCCTGAACATCAGCCGTGGGTTTCCCTTTGAGAAGAAAACAACCTTCAGAGAAAAACAACGTCTGTTCCACGTATGTTCTACGTCTGTTCTACGTCTGTACCATTTCTGTTCTACGTCTGTTCTACATCTGTTCCATGTCTGTTCTACGTCTGTTCTACGTCTGTTCTACGTCTGTTCAACGTCTGTTCAACGTCTGTACCATTTCTGTTCTACGTCTGTTCCATGTCTGTTCTACGTCTGTTCAACGTCTGTTCTACGTCTGTTCTACGTCTGTTCCATGTCTGTTCTACGTCTGTTCAACGTCTGTTCTACGTCTGTTCTACGTCTGTTCCATGTCTGTTCTACGTCTGTACCATTTCTGTTCTACGTCTGTTCTACATCTGTTCCATGTCTGTTCTACGTCTGTTCTACGTCTGTTCTTCGTCTGTTCTACGTCTGT